TCCTCCTACAGCGCTGTTATTGCAGGTATGACTCCGCCCCCTGTGAGGAAAAGGTGTCAATCAGGGCTCCAATGATACCAACACAAAGAGGGAAAGAGACAAAAACAAGGCGACTTTGAGCCCCGCCTGCATTCACTACATACACATAACACGACACAGGTCAGATGATGGATCACATGACCCTCTATGAACAATAGAACTAATCAAGCCTTATGTTAGGTGATGACCCTCTTTTGTATGTGACTAACCTGTCCACCATGTGGAGGCGGAGCTTATAAGGCTGAGTTCACCTGAAACTCATCAGACTGAAGAAGTCTCTTGGAGGAGAGACGAAACGTTTCACTAAAGAAGAACCATCCAGAGGACCTACTGATTTTTTCTTTTTGATTTTTTTCTACCTGGATTACTGAGATGCATCAGGAAATACATCATACATACAGTATTTCTCCAACAGATTTACCTTTATCATTTTCTTAAATATACATATTGATCTGGCATTTTTAACACCATCTTCCAGATGATTCCATWATTTAATTCCCTGGACTGAAGTACTCCGTTCCTTCAAACTGGTTCTAATTTTAGTTCTCGCAAACATTTCTATCCCCTTCAAATTGAAACAACTCTCTCTTTTAACAAAATGAAGTTGGACGTTTGAAGGTAATGTATTTTTATGGGCCCTATACAAAACTAACAAAATACTATAATCATCCAAARCATAGAATTTCAATAACTTCAACTGATGGAACAATGAATTTGATGGGTGACTGTAATGTTTTCTGGTAATAATTCTTATAGCTCTTTTCTGTAAAATAAAAACAGGATTTGTTATTGTTTTACACACTTTTCCCCAAACATCAACACAATAAATTAAGTGTGGAACAATTATTGCATTATACAACATAAACAGTGCTTTATCATTAAATAAATCCTTTACTTTGTATAATACTGCAGTGGATTTTGCTATTTTTGTTCTTAAATGATTTATATGATGTCTAAATGTCAGACCCTCGTCAATGATAACACCCAGAAACTTTACCTCACTGACTACAGATCTCACACCAGTGGTGGATTTAGTGGTTCGTATAATTCTGCTTTTATTTTAATTATGTCAGTGTTGGTCCTCCGTACTGCAGAAGCCTGATAATCATCTGTTCATTCATATCAGGTGTGTTGCAGCAGAGAAACAAAACATGCAGGGCTGCGGCCCTCCAGGACCAGGACTGTCCATGCCTGCTTTAGCCTCACATCAAAAGTCAAACATTTTAAAGGGCCAATATTATGTGTTTCTCAGGCATATATTTAAATACTATACCATAATAA